CCGAGCGCCTGGGGCGGCGGGGCTGAGCATGGAGCAGCGCGGCGGAGGTGAGGGGCCGGGCGGGCGCTCCGACTTGCGGCGCAGCTGGGGGCGGCCTTCCACAGCCCCCACTTCCTGCGAGGGGGCTGCTGGGGTGGGCGGGGGGCTCCCGGCTTCCGGTCGCGGAGTGGGGATCGGTGAGCGCAGGACGCGGCCCCGCTCGGCCGGTCCTTGGAGTTTGGGAGGGGGAGACTTCGCCCAGCTCTGCCCCGAGCCGAGGTCTCTGCGAGCCGGGCCCTGGGTCGGATGGCTGTGTGGCCCTGGCCGAGCCGCAGACCCCAGGCCCCCCAGCCCTCCAAGGGGAGTGGGGTCCCCGTGCCTGCTGGGGAGGACGAGGGGTTCCTTGTTCCCACAGCCACGACGCATTTCTCAAAATGGAGCCTCGCTCGCCCCTCCTTCTCCAGCCCCGGAGAGGGAGCTGGCCGGCCGGCGGCGGGGCCTGACTTTCCAGGCCGGACTCGCCCGGCTGGACGCCCTGGAGCCACAGGCCGTGGCCGCTTGGGTCTGAGACCCGGCCGCCCGGTCTGCTCGTGGCCTCTCGCCTGAGCAGGCCTCCAGGTTCCCCGACTCTTTGTCTGCCTCTCTGTCTGCGGCCACCCTCCCCGGGCCCTGCTCTGTAGCCCCTCCGGTGGGAAGGGGCGCAGGAGGGTGACCCCGAGCCGCTTTGCTCGGGGCTGGCCTTGTGGGGTGGCCCCAGTTCCCAGCCCTGCCGGGAAGCCTGAGGTTTCACTCTGTAGCTGGTGCACTTCTTGCACCTCCAGGGTCTTCCCCTCCGTCCACTTGAGGGTGGGTGGACTTAGTCCAAGGAGGATAGGGAACGCGGCATGCCACCCAGGCCCCCTCACTCCTAAACACGTTCACACTCGTGCAAGTACACTTCACCATCCTACTCACACAGGCACACGTACAGTGCCCACGGGGACTCACTGTGGACGTGAACGTCCTGGTGCAGGTGTCTTAACATTTCCTTGTAGTCACGTCCATTACCACTGTCCACCTGGACCTACAGGCTTACAGCTTTCACTTGTAGCTGTCATCTGGGGATAGTGATTTCTTATTTACGTGGTCTTGTAAAATACACTGATGTACTGATGCATTTGTCCACACGTATACTGTACACTCACACTCCGTGGTGTTTTTTTGACACATATTTTTACATATGCTCGTTTGGGGTGCTTTTGTGGGTTTTTTTGTTTGTTTTTGTTTCTGTTTTTCTTTTTGCAGTGCTGGGGATTAAACCCAGGCCCTTCCTTGTATGTGCTACACAAGTGCTGCACCACTGAAGCAAGTCCCCAGTTCTCACCTGCAAACAGTGTCACATGCCCAAACTCCTAGTCCCATGAAATTTTCTCTCCTGCTCTTCGTGAGGACTTCAGCAGATGCTTGGGCTCTGGCCATGATGGCCTCGGGACTGGGAGGGGGTCTGGGTGGAGGTTTGCTGTCCCCGCAGGAAGGAGCAGGCCCTGGGTAGGTGGAGCCCTGAGCCTGGGATGCCGGCAGATGAGGCCCAGCAGCCCCCAGGGTGGTGGTAGACCTCTGCCTTCGCACCCTGGGGTCACTGTGAGCACGGCAGCTGACGATGGGGCAAGACCTCGGCTCCTTTAGGCCTGAGTGCCGGGGTATAGGGAGGCCAGGACCATGGCGGCACACCTGTGGCCCGAGTGCCGAGCCTCTCTGCGATGATGTTGTGAATTGTATGAGGTGCTTTTCTAAACCAAAACCTCAGTATTCAGGTCTAATTGCAGCATTGGCACTTTGCAATAAATAAGTGGGTTTGGGGTTGCAGTTTGGACACTCAGTCCCTCAGAGGTTCCGCATCACTGGACTAGGAGTTGTCTTGGAAACAAGCATGAGCCTGGGTGTGTGTCCGGGAGGCAGGGGACCCTGGAGGACACCCGTGGGGTTCCTGTTGTGGCTGGCTCCACCTTTGCCGCCTCTCTGTCTGGGAGAAACTGAGGCCCAGCAGGGGAGAGGCTGGGCACAGCCTGGCCTTGGCTTCTTGTTCCCTAATTACTGTCTGAGCTGCTGATTGTATCCTCCACGTCGCATGTGCCCAGGTTGCCCTAGAACGAGGCCTGCTGTCCCAGGAGAGCCAGGACAGGTGGTTGGGACTGGGAGAGGACTTCTTGCCTCCTGGGTCCTGGGCTCTGTGGGGGATGCAGGGAAGCCCAGGCTTGTGTCTCCATGGCCAAGTGGCCCCACACCCCCGCTCATCTCTGGGCAGAATCAGTCCTCCACCATGTTCAGACCAGAGCTGGGGAGTGGTGGAAGACAAGAGAGAATGGAGTTCCGTGGCAGTGCTTGTCCCTGCCATCCAGGCGGTTTGTGGCCTGGGTCTGGGGATCGGGAGGAGGCCTTGTGTAGGGAGGGCCTCGAGGCAGAGGGACTCTGACACCACTGCCCTGTTCACAGGTTGCCCTGCAGGCCCCTGGCCTGGCCCGAGCCTCTGCTGCCATGGCCATTGTGCACACCGTACCAGTGCCACTGGAGCCCACTCCTGAGGCGGCCACCGCCCCCCAAGCTCCAGCCATGGGCAGTGTGAGCAGTCTCATCTCCGGCCGGCCCTGCCCTGTGGGGCCAGCTCCTCCCCGCCACCGAGGCGCCTCGGGGCCCACCTTCTTCCGCCAGCAGGATGGGTTGCTACGGGGCACCTATGAGGCACAGGAGCCTCTGTGCCCAACTGTACCACCCAGGAAGCCCATCCCTGGCCCCAGCTTTACGTACGTCAACGAGGACTTCCGGACAGAGTCACCCCCCAGCCCAAGCAGTGATGTAGAGGAGAGCCGAGAGCAGCGGGCTCGGAGCGCTCACCTCCGTGGGCCCCCCCCAAAGCTCATCCCTGTCTCTGGAAAGCTGGAGAAGGTAAGGAGCAGCCTCTTTGTGGCCTGGGTAGACTCAGAAGGCCCTGGGGAAGCTGGACTTCAGGAGTTTATTTAGAAGAGAGATGGGGGCTGGGGGTTTAGCTCAGCGACACAGCGCAAAGTCGTGAGTTCGATTTTCAGTACTGGAGAAAAACCAAAAAAAAAGAAAAAAAAGTTCACCCGCCTGGTTCCAGTCCCATCTCTGTCTCACCTGGCTGTGTGACCTCAGGGAAGTCACCTCACCTGAGTCCACTTTTTGTTATGTGTGTATTCTGAGTAATAGGCCAGCTCTTGCGAGAGGCTGTTGTGAGAAGTAAATCAAATAATACCTAGCACTAGCAAGCACCCATCTGCATTAGTTGCTTGAGTCACTATTCAGTGACCCTGTGAGTTTGACTTTTTGTGACTTTGACCTTCGTGCGGAGCATCCGCCTCCTCTGTGAGGGGAAACGTAGTGATACACATTCCACTTGTGTGGCTGGGCCGGTGCTTAGAAATGAGCCTCTTGAATAGGTAGACATAAGTTGACACTCTGGAGGTCCCCTGCCAGGGGCAGCCAGTGTTGCTGGTGTGGGAGCTGAGGATCCCAGACAGGAGGGCAGGGCCTAGGACAAGGGCTTTGAAGACGGGCGGCTCCTCAGTGTCACATGGCCTCATTTCAGAACATGGAGAAAGTCCTGATCCGCCCCACGGCCTTCAAGCCAGTGCTGCCCAAGTCTCGAGGGGCACCCTCCCTGCCTAGCTTCCTGGGTCCTCGGGCCGCTGGGCTGTCTGGGAGCCAGGGTAGCCTGACACAGCTGTTTGGGGGCCCGGCATCCTCCTCCTCCTCCTCATCCTCCTCAGCTGCCGACAAACCCCTGGCACTGAGCGGCTGGGCCAGCGGCTGCCCATCGGGGACACTGTCCGACTCCGGTCGGAATTCTCTGTCCAGCTTGCCCACCTACAGCACCGGGGGTGCAGAGCCAGCCACCAGCTCTCCAGGTGGACACCTGCCCTCCCACGGCCCTGGGCGGGGGCCGCTGCCCGGGCCAGCCCGAGGGGCCCCTACTGGGCCCTCCCACTCGGACAGTGGCCGGTCCTCCTCCAGCAAGAGTACAGGCTCTGGGGGAGGGCGTGTGGCTGGGGGGCTCCTGGGCAGTGGTCCCCAGGCCTCCCCTGACAGCAGCTCCTGTGGGGACCGCTCACCCCCACCCCCACCCCCACCCCTCCCCTCGGATGAGGCCCTGCTGCACTGCGTCCTGGAGGGGAAGCTCCGAGACCGGGATGCTGAGCTGCAGCAGCTGCGGGACAGTCTGGAGGACAGCGAGGCCTCTGTGTGCCAGGTGTGGTCATGGCGCTGCGGGGGTAGTGTGCCTGACCCGGGAGGAGGGTGGGCGGTGGGCCGCCCAGCAGACCTGGAGCTGCCTGGCTTGCCCTGTGGAGTGGTGCGGCGGCAGAGCACTGAGATGCGCCACTTTTTGGATGGTTACTTCTTACTGAGCCTCAGTTTCTCTTTGTAAATGGGAAGTTGTGTCAGGCAGTGCTTGCTGTTCCCATTGTTTCTGCTAGAAGAGCCTCGATGCCGTTGTTACCCTGCTCATCGCAGGCTTTGTGGCCGCTCCCTCCCCTCCGCTGGGCCGTGGGCTGTGGGGGTGGGCGGCTGGGGCACGGCACTTGAGGGGTGCACAGGACCCAGGGCCCTTCTCACCGGCAGCCATTCAGCGAGCGGTCACGGCACTGGCGGAGAGAGCATGAGGCCCCACGGGAGGACTGTGCAACCCAGGCCCAGCGGGCCCGGAGGACCCAGCAGCTGCTGCAGCTGCAGGTGCTCCAGCTGCAGCAGGAGAAGCGGCAGCTGCAGGACGACTTTGCACAGCTGCTGCAGGAGCGGGAGCAGCTGGAGCGGCGTTGTGCCACCTTCGAGCAGGAGCAGCGGGAGCTCGGGCCCCGGCTAGAGGAGACCAAGTGGGAGGTACGCCGGCCCGGCGGGCAGGCAGGAGGGCCCCGGCAGGGTGGACCTGAGAGGGGCCCAGGCTCCTGGCCTCTGTGTACTGGGGCCCTCCTCGCTCCCTCTCTGCGTGGGGTGTCCTCATTGGGCTGGTCTTATGCCCATGTAGCCAGTGGCACTGCAATTCTACTGCCTCCCCTGCACAGTGGGTACTGTTAATACCCCATTTCACGGGTGAGTAAACAGGCCCAGAAAGGCTGGAGCCAGATCTCACCTAGCAGTGGTAGAGCTAATACCTGAACCTGGGCAGTCTGACTCTGATCTCAACACCAGCTCTGAGGAAAACACTTCTAGGTCTGTACCCCTATGAGCCACTTACTGGCTGTCTGGCCTTGAATACATCACTAGGCTAAAAAAATGACAAAGACTGACTCCCCTCCCCGAGCGTCCAGTGTGCTGCCCCGGGTCTGGCCCCAGGGAACCCTTCTCACACCTCTCCTGATCCTTCTTCCCATCTCAGGTGTGCCAGAAGTCAGGCGAGATCTCCCTGCTGAAGCAGCAGCTGAAGGAGTCTCAGGCAGAGCTGGTTCAGAAGGGCAGCGAGCTGGTGTCGCTGCGGGTGGCCCTGCGGGAGGCCCGGGCTGCCCTGCGGGTCAGTGAAGGCCGCGCACGGGGCTTGCAGGAAGCAGCCCGAGCCCGGGAGCTGGAGCTGGAGACCTGCTCACAGGAGCTGCAGCGGCATCGCCAGGAGGCCGAGAGGCTCCGAGAGAAAGCTGGGCAGCTGGACATGGAGGCAGCGGGACTCCGGGAGCCCTCTGTGCCACCTCCCGCCACTGACCCATTTCTCCTGGCAGAGAGTGATGAGGCCAAGGTACAGCGGGCAGCGGCCGGGGCAGGAGGCAGCTTGCGGGCCCAGGTGGAACGGCTGCGGGCCGAGCTGCAGCGGGAGCGGCGCAGAGGGGAGGAGCAGAGAGACAGCTTCGAGGGGGAGCGGCTGGCCTGGCAGGCGGAGAAGGAGCAGGTGATCCGCTACCAGAAGCAGCTGCAGCACAACTACATCCAGATGTACCGGCGCAACCGGCAGCTGGAGCAGGAGCTGCAGCAGCTCAGCCTGGAGCTGGAGGCCCGGGAGCTGGCCGAACTGGGCCTAACCGAGCCTGCCCCCTGCATCTGCCTGGAGGAGATAACTGCCACTGAAATCTAGGGTGCCAGCGCTGCAGTGAGCTCTGCTTCGGGCCCCAGGGTCCACCGAGCATCCCCAAGTCCGAGGACCCCAGAGCCACTTGTCTCCTGGGGTACAGGCCTCTGAGACCAGCAGAAGCAAGAGCAAATCCCTCTGAAGTCACCATGTCACTGTCCCCAGAGGCTCCTAACACTCCACCATACACACACGCACCTGTGCCAGGCCCACTGGACACCGTGCTTGCGCACCCACTAGAGCCCAGAAGCTGGGAAGAGGAGGGGTCCCTCATCTCCAAATGTGCCCTACCCCAAAGCTAGAGAGAGCCAGATGGCACCACATGTGCCTGCCCCTGCCCGTGCTGGGGGACAGGGCTGGGACCGGGCCTGATCCCCAAGTCCCAGCCCTGCAGCCTCTCTCCCGGGCTGGAGGGGGCTGAAGTCAGACCAAAGGAAGAACTCAGAGATGTCTTGTTTATTTGTGTTTGTGACCAAGCAGCCCCTCCCAGTACCCAGATTTATGGCCTCGTTTTCACGTGTATATTTTTCACACTGTAAATTTCTTGTAAAAACCCAAAGAAAAAATTAAAAAAACTTTTTTTTAAAGTGACTGTGCTGGATAAACAAGTGCTGGATAAACAAGTGCTGGATAAACGTGCTGGGGAACTTGGTGAGCTCCACCCCTTTCCTGGCCACGCCCCTGCCCTATCTTAGAGGCTGAAATCCAGCTTTGTCAGGTCCTGGCGGTCAAGTCTTGAAGTGATCTCAGAGTCAGAAAGGAAAACGGCTCGCCATTCTGTCCACCGCACGGACTACTGCCTGGGACGGAAGAGTGCGTCTCTGCCGCGGGGAGGCGGGGAGGGCAGCATCGTGAGAAAGCGCCCACCGGTCCTCACTCCAGACCGGGGTTTCTTGACCCTCTCCCCTTAGTGTAGGGAGTAGTGAATGCAGCTGACGTAGGCTGTCCCTAACTCCTGTCTGTGGACACCGGGCTTGTCTGGTAGGGCAGGGCCATCCTGGCCACCGGGAGGGGTGCCAGCATGGATGGGGCTCACAGTAGGCAGGGCAAGCAGGACTGAGGTTCCTGAGCCCCTGGGAGGTTCACAAGAGGTTATGGGGACCATAGGCGGACAGTGGGGTCAGCATGGGGAAAGGCCATGGGTCAGTGGGGAACTGCAATCCATTCAGGGTAGTCAGGAATCTGGAGGGTCAGGGAAAGGGCAGTCTGCTGGAGGAGCGTGGCCTCTGAAGAAGGTTCTGGAAGCCAACAGGAGGGAAGCTAGAGCAGCATCAAGGGGTTGGAGGACAGGGACAGTCAGCAGGAAGGTGCTGGTCAGGGAGGGCTGGCGGGCCGGGGTGACGGTGGCGGGCCGGGCACAGGGACTCTGACCACCAGCTCCATGGGCTCCTGGGCCTTGTTGCGGTAAGCTCTGCGGATGGCGTCCACCGCTCGCTGGTGGGTTACGTGCTCTAGGCTCTCACCATCCACTGCCACAAGCTCAAAGCCAGCCTGGAACGAGGGTCAGTCACAGCCCTTCTGTGTCACCCCACGGTCACCAACCTGAAGGCACAGCCTCTCACCTCCAGGCTGGGACGCTCCTCCCCCAGCTGGGTGCAGGGGTGGACAATGAGACTTCTGTGCCTGGAGCCGTTGGGGGCAGGGTGGGGCCAGACAATGGCCCTTTGTCCCTTGGGGCTCAGGGTGGAGCAAGATGGGCCCTGCTCAGGCCCAGGCTCGTGGAGGGACAGCTTCCCCCGGGGATTGCTCATCCGCTCTCCGACCCCTGCCTCCCAAGCTTCTGCGACCTGGCCCGAGTCTGTCTCCCTGGAAGGTGAACACGAAGCTGCCCCGTGCCCTGCCAGGCCGTGGCTCAGGCCTAGGGAGAGGCCTGGTGCTTCGCTCACCTGCAGTGCCCCGCTGAGGAAGGCCGCGCCCCCTGGGAAGATCTTCTCTATTTTCACCACGGGCTGCACCTTGGACTCGATGCCTCCTGAAATGCTGATGCCTGGGAAGGCAGAAACCCTGGGTGAACGAGCAGCCATACGAAACCGCAAGCTCCCGCGAGGAGCCGGGACCCATCTCAGTGAAGTCCAGGGCCCCGCTGTCTTCCCAGCCTCCACACTCAGCCCTCCAGGTCCCAGTCCCCCCAAATGTAGGGCCCTAGCTGCACTCCAGGAGCCAAGTTCTTTTCCTAGGCCCAGCTCTGGGAAATCATGCCCACTACCCCACCACGCCCCGGCCAGCCCAGCCCTGCCCGGTCTGCCCAGACTCACCCAGGGACGGCTTTGTCTTGGACAGCGTAACTGTCCTCAGCTCCCAGCCAGGGGCCTGCGTGGCTGCCCCCTCGGCTGTCCTGCCATGCCCAGCCTTGGCTGCCTGCCCACCCAGAGGTCGTGGCAGGGGGGGTCTGGCCTTCCGAGGCTTGTGGTGGCGCCCGTTGGCCACGCTGGGGGTGGAGTGAGGCGCAGGGGATGGGGAGCGCCCGCGCGCAGGGGACTTGCCCCGACCCCGGCTGCGGCTGCGGCTGCGGCTGCGGCCCTGGCTCTGTGCAGCAGCCTCCGGACTCAGGACTTCGGTGAGCAGCCAGTTAGGCTGAGGCGGCCCGGGTGCCACAGGGGGCGGCAGGGGCGGGGGTGAGCCTGCCACTCGGTGTGGGGCATAGGCATCGACTGGCACGTCTCGGAGAGGGGGGAGGCCTTTATGAGGGTGGAGGGAGGCAGAGGTGCTGGCAGAAGCCTTGCGCTGGCCCAGACACTCCCTCAGCTCCCCGCCCTCCTCCTCCTCCAGGGAGCCGTTCACAGGCAGCAGGTAGAACCCTCCGCGGCTGTCTGGGGAAGAGGCCAAGTCAAGCAGCCCTCCGCTTCCCACCCGGCCTCGCCAGACCCTGTCCTGGCCTCGGTGCTGGGGGCCTCTGAGAACCGGGCCTGCGTTCCTCAGCACCCCTGCATTTTGTCCCTCGGTGAGGGCACTGCACTCTGGGGCAGCGACACGCCTGGTCTATTGTGATAGTATTTTAGGCCATTCTATTTAAGACAGACCTATTTTAATGTCACCAGCACATCAAACTGGTAACTTTTCCCAGATTATTACACAGAATGAGACTGGGTTTTAGAGAGCGAGCTGGGCGTGGTGGCACACCCCTGTAATACCACCAGCACTTTGGGAGGCTGAGGCAGGAGAATCACAAGTTTGAGCCCAGCCTGGACAACTTAACAAGACCCTGTCTCAAAATAAAAAGAAAAAGGGCTGGGGATGTAGCTCAGTGCAAAGGCCCTGGGTTCAAGCCCTGATATGGCAAAAGTACATAACAAAAGGCTTAAATCCCACTATGGGCAATAGCCCGGGTGGTGAGTGCGACAGAAGCGGCTCAGGTGAACAGGGTGGCTTCTGGACCCTCAGGGTGCCCCCGAAGCCACCGTGACCCCGTGTGTCTCCCCGGTGCTGCCCCCCAGGTCCCTTCCCGGCTCCGGGGTCCGACTGACCGGGCACTGGGGTGATGAGGTGGCGCCGGGGCGGCGTGTCCTGCCACGCTGGTCTCAGAGCAGGAGGCCGCACTGTGGAAGCACACAGGTCGGACGCCAGCCCCCTCCCCACAGGCCCCCACAAGCGCCCCCACAGGTGCCCCGGACGCGGGGACTCTGCTGCCTTCTCCTCGTGAGCCCGCCCCCCCAGGGCCCTGAAGTCCTCCCGGCCCGCCGCAGACCTGCCCTGCTCCTCAGGGCCTCAAAGGCCTCCAGCTCCACAGGCATCACCATGCTGTCGAAGCGGCCCAGGTCCGTGGGGGCCACCACACTCCTGGGGGAGGAAGGGAAGCCAGGCGGCCAGGGCTCAGCGCTGGAAGGGCTCTGCCCCGGGCATCGTGTCCCTGCCCCAGCCCGCCCTCGTGTCCCCCACCTGATGTCCCTCAGCAGCAGCAGCTTCTCCGGCCTGTCCAGAATGGCCAGCAGGGGTCGCACCAGGTCCTCCACTCCACCCTCGTGCACATACTGCAGAGACAGGCGCAGGTCAAGCGGCCTTGGAGGGGCCAGGACCCCACACCCCTCTGAGCTTTAGGAAGTGTTCACTCCAGCTCAGGGGCTACAAGACGGTCTCATCACTCACCGTGACCAGGGGAAGCCTACAGTACCCATAGATCTGTAACAGTAGCAACAATGGCTTCAGGACAAGGGCTCTCCCCTTCCCCCTGCCCCATACTGGGGATTTAAGGGGGCATGACACAAGGTAGGCAAACCCTCTGCCGCTGAGCTACATCCCTAGCCCATTTTATTTCTAAGACATTTCTGAGACAGGGGCTTGCTAAATTGCCCAAGCTGGCCTTGAATTTAGGATCCTCCTGCCTCAGCCTTCCAGGTAGCTGAGATCACAAGTGTGTGCGGTGATACCTGCACAATGTGTAAGAGATGAACATCTCCAGGATTCCCTTATTGTTTATTTTTGTGGTGTGAGGGCTTGAATCCAGGGCCCCGTGTACACTAAGCACACATTCTGCCACTGAGCCACATCCCAGCCCACAACGCACTTTCTAACCCTTTTACACTTAGCAGCTGCCGGGAGAGAGGAGGCTGTTGAGCAGAAAGGGCCGTGCTCAGGGCCACACAGGCAAGGGGACGTGAGTGGGGCCGGGACCGAGGCACCCAGCTTGCACCTGCTCTGGCAAAGGAAGGCCCTGCCCTGTGGAAAGGGTGCTGGGGGCGGACTCCAGTCCCCAGCTCACGCCCACACAGGAGTCCCGGGCCTTTGTTTGGGGAAGGGGTGGTTCCACAGGAAGCCCTTCCGCCAGCACTCTTCTGCCTGGCACTGCCCGGATGCCACGCCCTAGACTCTGCAGAACTGGAGCCAGGCCCATCTCGGACAGCACACTGCCCCCGGGTGGTGAGGAGGAGCCCGACGCAGGGCTGCACACCCTGGACATCCCGGGGCACAGACACAGAACAGCCCTGGTTCCAGCGTCACACGGCTTCATTCATGAATATCTGGAAATAAGTCACATATAAACTACGTGTGTGGCCCTGAGCCACACACAAAAGCTGCCTATTCAGCTGGGCCTGGTAGCACCCACCTTTAATCCCAGCACTTGGGAGGCCGAGGCAGGAGGATCACAGTGAGTTTGAGGCCAGCCTGGGCTACAGAATGAGTTCAAGGCCAGACTGGACTACACAGTGAGATCCTGACTCAAAAAAAGAAAAATCCGCCTATCCACGTGTCCTGCACAGAACCAGCCACATGTGGGCACACATTCCAAGCCCACAGTGCTGCATTCAGCACCCACTGAGTGCCGGGCTTTGTACCGGCAATGGGGGCACGGTAGTGCAGACCTTGCCCTACACCCTCCGGAGCCCTGCCCAGTGGGGGCGGGGGGCAGAGGAGCTGCGTCCCGCAGTGAGCCGCAGACGCCGGCAGTGGTGCTGAGGGGCATGTCAGAGACGTGGGCGGGCAGGGGGCCACGGAGGTGGCGATTCCTACGCTGACTCCCACAGGACAGACCCTGAGCGGGGTGCAGGTGGGGAGGAAGTGCCCCCAGGTGGTGCGAACGCTGAGCCTGCCACTGACTGCCCGGGGCTGGAGCCCCGAGGTGTGCAGTTCACAGCCTGGATAACGGAGGCCATGGGGGCCCAGGCACCGGGACGGGCCGGGGCGTCACGTGGAGGGGCTGAAGGTGGGGGACGGGCTTGCACACCCTTAGGGAGTGTAAAGTCTGTGATTCCAGGTCTGGCGGCTGCCGAACAACGGCTCAGGCTGGAGCGGGGAGGGTGGGCTCAGGGTGCTCACCCCAGTCCCCTGCGGACTCTACCGAGCTCCCGGGCCAGGCTCCGTTCCAGGGGCATTGGGAGCCCTGGGGTCTGGTTGGGACCATATGTGGGCCGGCGGGGGAGCCAGGGACACACTGAGACTTCCTGCTTGAGGTCTGGCAGCCAGCCCCAGAAACAGACACCGAGCCCCATCTAGTGGCCGTAGCCTAGAGTTGCAGGTCCTCTGGAGGATGGAAAAACAGCCGCCCGCTCAGGGCTCAGGGTCCAGGCCAGGCCTACTGAGTGTAGTCCTTAGTGGCCCCCGAAAACGCACCCCTCCTCTAGCTCACTGTGAACCCCAAAAAGCACCCCTCCTCTACCTCACTGTGAACCAGGCCTTGGGAAAGGGGTGCACAAACGGCCACGTCTCAGGCTCCGGGTGGCAATGCACAGACAGGCCGCACATTCGCTAGGCAGAGCATGGGGCTCACGCAGATCCGGCACACAGCCTGGTTGACACAAACCAGGAACTCAGAGGCACACAGCATGCACTGCTCCCCTCCTGACTGTGAGACCGGCCCGGGTGAGTGTGTGTGAAAGAGAGAGAGCAGACAGACAGATGGACTGCAGGGGTGACGGGGGACGGTGGCCTGAGTGAGGGCCACGGCGGCAGAGGACGGGGCTCACCCTGGAGCAGTGGCGAGTGACCGCCAGCACCTCGTCCTCAGTCAGCAGCCGGCGTGCCAGGTCCTGGATAAGGGGCCGTCGGCTGTCCCAGGCCTGCACCCGCTCCTCCATGCTGGGCAGCTGGCTGGAGGGACTCCCAGACCTGGCCAAGAACAGGGCCCGGCCTCTCTCCCGGTCTGCAGGGCAGGAGCCAAAGGGTGTGATGCAGGAGCCAGAAGCTGTCAGGCGGTGGGCCTCCCACCACAAGGACCAGGCCCCAAAGCAGGCTTGGGGGAGCCTGGTGCCAGGACAGAACTGCAGCTGCAGCCTCTGCTCCCCAGCGTGGCAGCCTGTGGTGCCCATGGGCACTTCATCACTGACCCCATACCAGTCTGTTCCTTTGCATGTGTGGGTTTTTTTTCTTTCTTTCTAGTACTGGGAGAGCAGGCCCTTCACATTGAGCTACATCTCCAGTCCTTTTTATTTTATTATTTGAGACAGGTTCTCGCTAAGTGGCTAAGTTGCCCAGGAAGGCTTGAACTTGCCATCTTCCTGCCTCAGCCTCCTGAAGTGCTGGGATTACAGGCGTGCCACAACTGTGCCTGGATCCACCACTTCCTTCATGAAGCCTTAGCTTGGTGACTCATGTGTCTCCTAAAAGCACATTAGTCTGTTCTCCATTGGCATCCTAGCACAGTCTCTCACTGCTCCCAAATCCGCCTAGAGGGAGTCTTAACACAGCCCTCAAAATGTACCCCTTACCTGCCTGCAACCCTGTTTCCTAGGAAGCTTGGTCCAGTCAGTCTTGTGTGGCCCCACTGAGCTGACCCCAGCACAATCTGCCTGCTGCTCGACCGCAGACCAGGCCTTGGACAGGGACACACAACTCACCGCGCCTCAGTCTCCAGGTGACAAACTTCTGCACCGGCCCCGTGCTCCCTGTGAGAGAGGAGGCTCAGCTGAGTGTGGAGGCAGAGAGCGGGGATCCGGCTTCGAGGAGAGCGTGGAGGTGGGACGGGGATTGTCCCGGCCCTGCTGGGCTGGATGGTCGCGGCCAGCTGGGCCTTCAGTGGAGTGAGTGCAGGGAGTCCGAGAAGACTTGGGATGGAAGAGCTGCCCAGGGTATGGGGGGAAGGACTCCAGCGTGTGGGGGACCCACCTTCAAGGGACAGAGGGAAAGAGTAGCGTCGGGAGGACAGAGAGGAGTAGACAGGTGAGCGGGGCGCAGGAAAGCACAGAGCCGTGGGAGCTGAGGGAGAAGGCGGCGTAGGGCTGGCCACCCTGCTTTGGAGGGTCATCTCTCCTGTGGACCGGCACCATGATGCCCCGAAGCGAGAACCCTCCGGTGGGGAACATCCGGCTCCTCATCCTCTTGTTCCCACCTACCCGACATCTGCTCTTCTCTCTGGAAAGAGCACCCGACAGTCCTCTGGGGACCGGCCCTCTCCTCAGCCCCAGCGTGGGTCGGCACGCCCCCACCTGGCTCGTGCGGGCGCCTGCCTGAGGTCCACACAGCGGCATGTGGCCACAGCAGAGCCTGCCGGAGCTGTGTGAGAGGCCACCCGCCCCGCGAGGCCGGGCAAGAGCAACCACCGCACCTCCCGGCATGAAGGCAAAGCCAGCCCGGGAGAATGGGGCCCAAAGATGCGAGGGCCACGTGTCTGGGGCCGGTGCTCAGACCTTTAGGCCAGCTCAAGTCCACAGCTGAGCTGAGAGGCTTTTCACAACTGCTGTCACATGCATCTCTGTCTTAACTCATCGGCTCCCGGTCCAGAGTCCCAGCCAGGGCCATGCGCGGCCTCTGCCTGAAGACAGGCTGGGCTGGGCCTCCTGCTGGTCCCGGATCTGGAGATGGTCTTGCCAAGCAGGGCCTAGAAGCGGACTGGGCAGGTGGAGCTCTGGCCAGAGGGTGTAAAGCTGGATTCCCCGGGCAAAAGCAGGCCTTACCGTCACTACCCCCAAGATCCAGGGCTCTGAGCGCAAGAGTTGGATGCCAGGCCCTGAGCACACAAGACCCACGCTCTACCACAGGGCTGTGCCCAGCCCGCTTAACAATCTTGTTAAGAGCCAGGGTTTTGCTAAGTTGCCCAGGCTGGCCTCCTGGGCATGATCCTCCTGCCTCAGCCTCCCGACTAGCTAGGGTTACAGGTGGGCAACAACATGCCCAGCTCCACTTCCCTGCTGTGCCTCTATCAGTTTCCCTTTCTGGAAGGTGGGGTGAGGCGGGGTGACAAGGGCCACGTGCTCTGGGTCTCCCCTGTGTGGCCGAGGTACCACGTGAGCCCTCCGCTGACTCCCTCACTCTCGCTGCCCCAAGGAAGCAGGCGTCACACTCCTGTTTTACCAGCCTGGGGTGGCGCGGGGGACGGGATGTCTCCCCAGAGCTGCAGGGAGCTCAGCGGTGGACCTGGCCCCACGCCCTCCTCCCTACCTTTCTCCAGGTCCAGGCGAGGGCGGGCTTTGGCTGGGCTTCCGCCGTCCAGCGTCCAGGCCTCTCTGCGCCTGTCCCCAGCAGGCTGCCCCTGCCGCCCTCCCTTGAAAAAGAGGTTCATCAGCGTCTTGGAGCGCTGCAGAGCCCCCTTCTCCCCAGGGGACCCTGACTTCTCCTTCTTCTGCCGCTTCTTCTCCTCTGCAGACACAGGGAGGACCAGGAGCTGCAGGGTGGGCAGGGGGAGGCCGAGGGGCACGGGCGTGGGAGGGCAGAGAGGGACCAGGCCACTGTGCAGCTGTGCGGGTCAGGGCTCGGCTTCTCCTCCAGCTGCCCACCTCCCCAGCGCAAGCTGCAGCTGCGGGAGGGGTCCGTCTTGGGGGGACGAGAGGGAGAGGGAGCACGTGTGTAAGCCAGGCACTCCGGGCTGGAGGGATGGGTCAGGCCTGGGGCTGGAGCACATCAGAGCCGGGGCCAGCACTAGGGTGGCTTTGGGGCCCAGGCTTGGTTTAAAATGGAGCCCAGAGCAGGATCTGAGTACACCCTCAAGCGGTTCTGGGTCCAGGCCTGCGGCAAGTGGAGGTTTGGGCCCAGGCCCGAGCGGGGCAGGTTTCGGAGCGGGGGCTGGAGAGAGCGGCCGCCCACCCCACGTACCCCACAGGGTCAGCTGGCTCCGGGAGCGCGCGATGGGGGGCCGGGGCCGGCTGAGGGCCAGCAGCAGAGCCGTCTTGGGGGACTCGGGGAGGACCGTGTCGGGATGGCGGGAGGGTGGGGGGCCCTCGGCGCGGATAGCTGTGTCCCTGAGGATGACCGTGGGCCGCACGCTGCACCAGGTCTCCACACGGCCGCCCGCCTCCGGCTCCGTCTGCATGGCAGTGTCTGCCCTGCCCCAGCTTGGGCCCTGGCCGCCGGGCTCCTCGGGCCCCAGGCAGGCGTCCATGTGGTCGGAGGGCAGGGAGCCAGAGCTGTAGGGGACGCTGGAGGCGTAGGAGGAGATGCTGGAGCTGCTCTCGGAGGCTGGGGCCGGCTGCTGCAGCACCCCGCTGCTCACTGTGGGGCAGTGGACAGCGCCTCAGGCCTCTGGCTGGTGTGCGCCGGGGCCTGGGGCTTGCAGGCCCCAGGGGTTGGGGTGGAGGAAGGCCTGTCTGCCCGAGGTCGGGTCAGCACTGCCATAGCCCTGCCGCCGACCTGGGAGGCCCCGGCAAGCTGCTCCGTGACTCACAAGGGCTCCAGGCCCAGAGCTGGGACTGGCTCTGCAAGTCCTCAGACGGCCGGCAGGCAGTTCCAGGATCCCTGGCCATGCCCTTTCCTTTTTCAGAGATATGACCCCCACTTCCCTCCATCCTCAGTACCTGAGCCACTTACATCGGTCCAGCCAACAGTATTCAGAAACCATCTCCTTGTAGGCAGGGTACCGGCCAGTCTCCTAGGAGGGCACAGTGGGCATCGCAGAGCAGGCAGGAGGGTAGGAGTGGGAGAGGAGCAGGACAGGAGTAAACTTCTCAACTCCTCTGAGTTCACTGTGCTCATGTCACATGGGCCACTTTATTTCAGAATGTGATAAGTTCCTCATACCACAGGGCCTTTGCGCATGCTCTTCCTGATGCCAGTGATGTAGCTGGCTCATGCTCGTGCTTTAGGTGTCCCTCCCTTGGAGGGCTGCCCCAATGCCCCTGACATAGGGCCTTCCTAAGTGACTCTTCATACCCGAGTCACTGCCTGTGAGAACCCCACTGCCTCCCCCCAGGAGCAGAGATCCTGTCCACCCTACCCACTGCTGCCACTGGCACAGGAAAGCACAGACTAGCTTAAAAGTACCGTCAAACAATAAATAAGGGGCAGGCACGAGTTCGCAGGGATGTCTGGGGAGACACAAGGTGGAGGAGGAGGTGAGTGGCGAAGGCATGGGAGGGAGAGGGTAACGTGGGGCCCAGGGACTCAGGGAGGCATAAGCCCTGAGGGAGCCAGGGGAGAAGACCTGGCCCTCGGGCACTCCTGAGACCTGCATGAGTGACAGTCCAGCTGCCTCCCCTGCAGTCCAAGCTCTGGCAGCAGCCGGCCCTCCCTGCCCCATGCCCCCGGATGCCCATCGCCAGGTCCTGCCCCAAATTGCAGTGGCCCTGCCTCCTGCAGGGCAGGACATGGGCTCCTCCAGCCCTAGGGGCCCATTCAGAATTGGCACCCCGGGCAGTCTGGGCCAGGCTCAGCCGGAGCAATCACCGACCCGGTTATTGTGCTCTCCAAGCCTCAGCCTCTCACAAGGCAGGGAGGAGGACGCGCTTGGCCTCCTTCCCGGGGCTGTGGAGATGCACCCGCGGCACAGCAAGGAGCACGCTGAGCCCGCGGCACTCTGCGCAGCCCCGCCCGCAGCCCGGCTGCCCAGCTCCACGTCCTGCCTACCTTGATGGTCAGCATGATGTGTGTCTGGCCCTTCAGTACCTCCACCGCCTGGCTGTGGCTGATGTCATCAAACCGGACGCCATTGGCCGCCAGGACCTGGTCCCCCACTTTGATGCCATTCTCCTCGGCCAGGCCACCGTGGTCCACTCTGGGGTCAGGTAAGGATGGGTTGATGGGAGCCTGGCTGCCTCCCTCACCCCAGCAGAGGCCCTCTCTCTTGAGCACCCCAGCCCGCTCCCCGGCCCCTCCCCAAGCCCCACCCCTACGCCAGCCCTCACTTGGATACATAGATGCCAAGGCCAAACTCCTTGCCCCCGCGGATGTTGAAGCCCAGGCAGAAGTCGTCGGAGGTCGTGTATAGGTGGACGATGCGCCGCACGCCGTCCTCCGAGCCGCTGTCGGACGGTGACGAGCTGCACTTCTCCACCACCAGCCGCCGGTTCACCACGTCCACCCTGGACACAGGGAGGGGCCTCAGCTGCGCCCGCTGCCTCCCAGCAGCCCCAGCAACGGCAGGAGGAAGGGGGTTGCCTGCTCCAGGCTGGGATGTTCAGTGGGACCTAGGGTTCCGCGGGTTGAGGAGATGTCCTAATCCCTCTTTTCAGGGAGCAGCTGCAACACCCACGCCCAGCCTCCTCCCTCCCCTCCTTCCCCTCCCCCTCCTCTCTCCTTGCTTCACCTCTCTCCTCTCCTCCTCTTTCTGTCCCCTTCCTTCCTTCGTGTGACGGACCAGCACACTAAGCACCTGCTGTGCACCCAGTCTCTGGTCCAAGGCTGTGTGTGCAGAGGGTCTGCTCTGGGCCTGAGTGCAGCCGCAGCACAGAGGGTGCTGGAGCTGGCGGGGAGCAGAGCTCACGGGGTGGTGGGCGGGACACGGCTGCCCCTAGTTTCAGGGCGAGGCCTTGGGAGCCGGGTGTGGGCGCCCAAAGCTAGGGAGGGGGAGGGGCAGGCAGGGAGGGGGAGCGCTGCTCACCACGTGGTCTTCTCCTTGGAGAACTTGATGCCCGGCACCCGGCCCATGCGCCGCACGGTCATGCGCAGGCGGCTGCTGCTGGTCAGCACTTTCACGGCGCTGCCCATCGTGGTGCTCTCCAGGCTCAGCCCGTTCACCTCGGTGATCTTGTCCCCCACACACAGGCCGGCCCGCTCTGCAGGGGCAAGGTGGTGCTGACCTCCCTTCCCACAGCATTCCGGGCCAGAGCCGTGCTGTGCTTTCACCGCTCTGCCCAGGGCGGCGGCCGGCCGGCCTGGCCTGGCCTCTGCTGTGGGTGGCCCCCCCGGGTCACAGCCCCACTCACCAGCACTGCTGCCCTCTTCCACCTTGCTGACGAAGATCCCCAGCCCGTGCTCGGAGCCGCCCCGCACGCTGAAGCCCAGCCTCCCCGCCGCGCTCTTCTCCACGTGCACCGCGTGGATGACGTCGCTCTCGTCGCTGTTGGCTGTGGGGACGGGGACACAGGCATGAGCCCGCGTTCTGTGGGCACAGAGGGTCCCTGGGCTCCCCAGCTTGGGGCCTGAAATGCTGGGCTGTGGGCAGCCACAGGAGCACCGAGGGCCCTACGGGGGTGTGCACGTCGATTCCCAAGCGCCCACAGACCACAGAGGGTGCGGGGCGGGTGGGAACAGCTGGACTGTGTGCGTGTGTGTGTGTGTGTGTGTGTGTGTCTAATTTTACAGCTTCCGGTGCCCACATTCCTAAAAATTCCTGCCAAGTCAGATGTGTAGAAAGGAAGTCTCAAGATCCCAGTCTGGGGGCAGCTGAGGAGGTCCTGGCCCGTTTGCTTATAGCAGAAATAGGGCACTGGAGCTAACTCGGAAGACCTGGAGTCTCGTGTGGACGGCATGAGCGGTTCTTGATTGTGTGACCTGGAGGACAGGACCAAGGCCACACAGCAGGGTTAGGGAGCCACAGATTTGGTAAGCAAAGGCTTTCTCAAACACTCAGCTGACAGTGCAGTGGGTTTTCTGGGACAGAGTGAGCTCCCTGACTTTGGAAGTGTTAGAGCGGAGGTGGGAAATCCTGGTGTCATGTCTGGAGGGATCTCTGAGGCCCCTCTGTCTCTCAGCAGTGGTTCTGGGGAAGGGCTCCAGGAGCTACAGGGCTACCTGGACAGAGCACCCACACAGCACCCTGCCTCCCCGCCAGTGCTGGGAAGGGCGAGGGAGAGGTGCTTCTTAGAAGGCTGTGGTGGTGTGTGTTATAACCTTGCGCTACATTGCTGTTTTGTATGAGCCTGAGTAGCCATGATAAACATGTTATGCTGTGGAATTTCTCTTGAGTCTTCGTGACCTGACCGTTATACTGTATTGATAAGCATGTTGTGTTAGACCAAGGTAATGTTCCCTTAAAAGGACATAATGAAAAAACTAGCTGTCCTTGTGCAACTGAGCAAAGCGCCACCTGCCGGATCTGCTTTCCTATCACCCCATCCCCGCCCCTCTTGCGGTTTTTGTGCTTAAATTCAGAGCACTTAGTCTGTGAGGCACGCATTCTCGGGATCGATTCCAAGAGTCTGCGTCAGCCAGGCCTGAAATAAACGCCTTTGCCTCCCAAATTTGGAGTCTCCGAGTCTTGGCTTCCCACGGGGGTCATGAGACCACCACAGTGGGATGGGGGTCAGAGGGAAGAGGAGCCCCGGGAGCGGGTGCAGACAGCCAGGCTAGAGCCGGCCCAGAGAACTTCTGGGTAGAGAAATTCTAGGAGAGGAGATGCTAAGTTGGTTCCCAGGTGAGAAAGGGAGATTTCTTCTCAGGCCAGGCTTACTCTAGAGGTCTGAGAGGGAGAAATCTCACACACACACACACACACACACACACACACACACACACACACACACCCAGCTGCACACATTTCAATTTGATCCCACAGAAATCAGGTTACAGTGCACGGCCAGGGCAGCTGGGGAGCGCTGGTGCAGGCAGACACCTGGGCAATCCTGGGGCTGCCAGCTGATTGGGAGTCACACCGACCTGGACGCTCAGCCTTGGCCAGGGGCCACTGGCCTCCACCGCAGCCCTCTTCCCCCTAGTCCTTCCCTGGGCCCTGGCCAGGCTGTGGACGTGAGGGCACTCTGCAGCCCCTTCCCGAGCTGGCTGCCTCTTCCACCCCAGCACAGCCACAGCAGGCCAGCGTGGCGTGCCCTCTGTACCCGGCAGCGCCCCCCACCCCACCTGCTCTCCTCCGGGGCCTCCTCCGCGTGCCTCTGCCACTGCCCTCCCTCCCTGGCGTGGGCCACCCTCCTTCCTTCTTCTCACACCGGCCAACACCGGGCACCCCGGAGCCTGCAGTGCTCTTGAGCTGGCATTTCTAAGGCCACGCCTCTCCTCGATGCTTCACTCCGACTCGCTTGCTCAGGAAGCCTGAGCTCCCGAGGCAGGACAGCCATCCCAGGGCAGGAGCAGACCAGCAGCATCGAAGCACCAGCAGCATCAGCCTCGAACTCATTACAGTGCACATTCCCGGGCCTCAGTGTCAGCCCACTGAACTGGAAGCTCGGACGTGAGGCCCAGGGGACCTTTCGCCAGGCCCTCCTGGCAGCCCAGCCCACTCTGATATGAGAACCAGTCTTGTATTTCATCACTCAGATATTTCCTTCCGGATTCTCCCATCCTCTGCGATCACTGGCCACTCACACCTTGTTTATTACCTGTCTCCTGTCACTGAGCCGTAAGCTCAGTCGTGAAAACTGTAATTCCTTCCCAGCAGTTTAGCCCCAGTATGTTGCACAGTGCTTGCTGTCTGAGTATTTTTTGAATAAGTAAGAGAACACATACCTGAATGAATGAATGAATGAACTAGGAGAGGAGAAAGTGCTGGTTTAGATGAAAGATCATGTATTTTCTTCCTCTTTCTTTTGAGGTGGAGCCTTCCTAAGTTGCCCGGCTGGCCTTAAACTGGTGATCCTCCTGCCTCAACCCCCAAAATAGCTGGTGTAGCCAGGCATGGTGGTGCATGCCTGTAATCCCAGCAGTCCGGAGGCTGAGGCAGGAGGATTGTTGCAAGTCTGAGGTCAGCCTGGGCTACAAAGTGAGCTCAAGGCCAGTCTGAACTGCACAGGGAGACCCTGTCTCAAAAAGAAAAAAAAAAAACAAAGGCTGGCATGACAGCCATGCACCACAGTGCCAGGTTAGAGCACGCACTTCCCTGGGACCAACTGGGTTCTGAGCTGATGGGACTCCTGGTTTCCCCGTTAGAAGACACCAACAAGGTCCCCAGGCTCTCCCTCATCGGTTACTTTACTTTCCTGGTGGGGTCTGGACAGGAACATGGGCAGGAGTGCCCAGCTGTGTGAGAGGGAGACGTCTGTCCCCAGGACGAGGGGAGGACTGCATCAGAGTAGGGCCTGGTAGCGGCTACATGCTGCTTCCTGGTAGTGCAGGGCAGGGTGAGGCAGGGGAGCAAGCAGTCTTGGAACTTTTGGCAGAGACTCTTTGCAGGATTCTGAAAGCTGGCATGGGGTGTGTGGCAGGGGCCATATGGCAGAGTTGTAATAACGGGAGGCTGCACTGCCCCCCATGCCTCCCAGCTCCTCTGGGACTTCCGCCCCTGACCAGAATGACAGTGGTGACCCTCAGCAGAGCACCCCTGCAGCGGATGACAGGGTGAGTGTGTCTGGCCGCAGGGGGAAGCAAGCCTGCTCCCAACAACCCACTCGACCCGGGGGGGGGGGTGGGCAGGCCAGAGGGGCCCGGCCCAAGCCTCAGGTGAGAAACAGGGCATACCGGAGATCCAGCCGGGGTGCCCCGCTGGAGAGGAAAGAGGAGAAGAGCTGGAGATGCCTATCTGGTCCTGCCCGCAGACGCCGGCAGGGGCACAGCCCGCCCTCCCCGCCACACGGCACTCAAGGTCCTGTCCGGCCCCCAGCTCTGCGCTTCACATCTGTCACGGCACCAGGCTGTCTCCCAGGTGCCCGCCCTGCCGCGCTCTGCACTTCTGCTTCCGGCGTTGGTGGGCGCTAGCTGCGGCCCGACGCCGGCGGCGCTTGCTCCATCCCTGTGCGCAGCCGCACCACACACTTCCAGAGGGTGGAGACTGGGCCTCATCGTGCAGGTCCCCTGTAGGCGCTGACCAGGGCGGCACGGGGCCGCCGGGCAATACAGCGGGCTCGGGCGCCACACACTGTTTCTGCCTTCAGGGACCAGTCCTGGGCGTCCTCGCTGGCCCTCCATCCTCCTGTTCGCCCCTCTTCTGAGCATCTGCTGCTCTGCCTACAGGCTCCTCCTTCTTCACCTGAAGCCTGAGGAAGGAGCCGGTCACACTGCCCTCCACCCTGCCCCACCTCCAAAGGCAACACAAATGGACCCCTTCCCAGCCTCCAGGCCCGGCTGGCCCCTTCTGACACAGCTACAATCCTGGGCTTGTCCCGACCCAGCTCAGCGCCTGCGACCGACCCACCTTCTATGGGGGAGTTGATGAGGATCACTCTGCCCATGGGTGATGAGGCTCGGATTCCGCGCGGGGGCCCATTCAGCAGGCGCTGCTGCTTCCTCAGCAGGTATCGCGTTGCGGTGGAGCCTGAGTCGCTGCCCAGGTGGCCTCGGGAGGACAGGGAGCTCAGAGAGCCGGAGCTGAGCTCTCCCAGGCCCAGAGGGTCGAAGCTCGGCGCGAAACCGCGCGCCATGGTGTGGCTGGCAAGCCCGGCGCCCTACAGGCCCCGAAGAGAGGTGGTAGTCCTCCGGCGGCCGGCCCCCGGCGCCCTGAGCTCCATGGGCCTTCTGTGTCTCCGGGCCCCTCTCAGATAGCGTGTACTCAGACCTGGGCAGGGACGCAGGGATCCGCAGCGGATGTGAGTACTGCGCCTCGGACCCCGGAACTCCCACCCCAGCCCTGGCGAGGCTCCTGCCTGCCCAAGCCCACAGGCCGCACCTCTGCCACCCTGGACCAGACTCGAGCCCAGGTCACTGGCTCGGACCTTGGGACCCTGAACATAACAACGTGGACGGGGAGCTCTTCTGCACCGCTCACTTCGCTCTCAGCGGAGTCCTCCGCCCACCCCCAGTCCGCAGAGGCAGAGCTAAGCGCGGAGGTGGGATGACCCCGGGCCTAAAGTGTGAGAGAAAACGCGGGCTCAGCCCACAAAGGCACCTCTCCCCAGAGTGTACGGGGAGGGCTCAACCTTGGGATGGAGTTCAGGACCCGGGGCCCCCGGGCCCAGGCTGCGGCTCCGATGTGCAGCGGCCGCGTGGCCCTCTCCCCACGCACGGGCGGGGGGTCTGCTGGCGAGGACCCCACAACACCCCGCGCAGAATCCAGCAGAGCCGCTCCGGGACCCAGAGCGCGACGCCCACCCCGGCCCCAGCCCGGCCGCGCAGCCGCCGCCCCACTCCGCCCCTCACCTGCTCGCGGGC